AAAAAAATATATAAAAAAAAAAATAAATAAATAAATAAATAAAAAGAAACTCCAGGTTCTGCCCAGTCTCTATGTAGTCACCCATGACCTCCATGGCTCCCCAGAATCTTACCTTGAGGAAGGTCAGGCAGTCCTGGTTCTCACTCTTGTCTTTGTGTCGTAGGTCGAAGTTGTAGAGCGCTCGGCAGAGTGGGGGTGGCTGGGGCAGCTGCTTGATAACTTCCACGGAGCTGGCTGGGAAGATCCCACTGACTCCATTGATTTCCCCCTGGTACCAGTTCTCATCCAGCTGTCTCCGGAGAAGGATGACATCTCCCTTATTAAACCTCAGGTCACCAGGATTCTGCCCTCGGTAGTTGTATAAGGCTTTTGCCCGAGGCACCTACAGCGGCACAGACCAATGAAATATGTCCTTAGTTTACAGGCTAGGGGGACAGAAGGTATAACATTAATAACTGATTACTGAGCACTTCCTATGTGCTAAAGTGTTGGATGTGGATCATCTTCTTTAACCTTTGAGATAGACATTCTTATTACCCCCTTTTCTAAGTAGGGCAACTGAGGCACAGAATGGGTTAGTACCTTGCCTAAGGGGACACAGCTGGGAAATGGCAGATATGGGGTCTGAACTCAGGCTACATGATTTCAGAGCCCCTGTTCTTTTTTTTTTTTTCTTATTAATACAGTATTTATTTGTCTTCCCTCTGTCAAACCCTGAGCCAACCAATTTCTCCAGGCTGCCTGGGGAGGTACAGGAAAAGGAACATACAGGGCAGACGAGACACTGGAGAAAGACTTATGGGAGGTGGAGATGGCTCCTTCATATGGCGAAGAGGATGAGAAAGGCCACCAGCAGGCACAAGAGCCCCATGGCCTTCGATAGGGCAAAGCCCAGAATGGCGCTGGAGAAGAGCTGTTGCTTCAGAGAGGAATTCCTGGCATAACCAATGCTGAGGCTCCTAAACGCAGTCCCAATTCCAGCCCCAGAGCCAGCCAGCCCTACCACGGCAGCCCCAGCCCCAATGAACTTGACTGCTGTGTCGATTCCCTTGAAATGGCGCAGGTTCTGGAGCTGCGGCTAGAAATAAGTTGAGGTCAGGGGACATGGGGCCCTGCCAAGCTGCTGAGGCTCTTATAAGGTACCTCATCTGTCAGTGTCTCCGGCGGTTTTAGCACCCCTGCAGACCGTGATCGGCTCAACAGCTGAGGGGTGCTCCTGACCAAGAAGGCGGTGGAGACGAGCTTTGCACCGGCGGACATTTTCAGGGGCTGAGGGGCTCTGGCAGGAGGGCTGCTCTCAGTGCAGAGAAGACAGAGAGGGGTGGGGACCAGAGCCCCTGTTCTTAATCACTCTGCAGGGAACAGGATTTTGGACTTGACTCCACAACTATGTGAACTTACAGTGAGTCAGTGACTGTTTTTGGCGCCTGGATACTGATTGGGAATTCTGGCTCTACCTCTTTCCTCTCGTGTAACCATGGTCAAGTCATTTAATCTTTCACAAACCATATCCATTTATAAAATGGGGTAATAATAGAATATGTACTTCATTAGGGTAGTCATGAAGACTAAATATTTATAATGCATTTTTTAACAATTTTATTTATTTGAGAGAGACAGAGAGAGAGAGAGAACACAAGCAGGGAGGAGGGGCAGAGGGAGAGGGAGAAGCAGACTCCCCGCTGAGCGGGGAGCCCGAGGTGGGGTTCGATCCCAGGACCCTGGGATCATGACCTGAGCCAAAGGCAGACGCTTAACCGATTGAGCCACCCAGGCGCCCTAAATATTTATAATGCATTTAGTATGTTGCTTGATACATAGTATGGGCTCAATAAATGGCATCTCTTATAGGATGGCTAGAACAAGGAAAGGCTAATGATAGCAGTTCTATTTATTCCTCAGTGTTGATGGGAAGAAAATTGAGGTGAAAAGTCCCTGAAAATACAAAGTACTATACAAGGGGCACCTGGCTGGCTGAGTTGGAGAAGCATGCAACTCTTGATCTCAGGGTTGCGAGTTTAAGCCCCACACTGGGTGTAGAGATTACTAAAATTAATTAATTAATTAATTAATAAAAAGAAAGTGCTATATGAGAGTGATGCAACATAATTTGTCTTCAGCCTTCTCTAGAAAGTGTAAACGTCGTGAGTGTTTGGATCATTAGGAAGCACTGAGACAAAGAATTAGTCAGAAATCAATCATCACTTTAAAACAGGTCAGCTAAATACTGTCATTTGTTAAATTAGTTGTCTCTCTAAATAATTGTTTCAGTCAAGTGCATTTTTTTTTCTAATTGAAACTGGTTTCTACATGCAGAAACAGCCTCACTTTGGTCTTGCTTGGAGTCAGAGTGGCAAACTGCAAGTTCTAATAACTTATGGTAACTAGCCCTTCAGTGTCACCTGGGATTGTATTTGTATTTTGTGCTTTCCTCAGCAGTGGGGTGAAGTAGTCCCCTCTCTTGGGGGCAGTCTTGCTATTCATAAGGGGATGTAAGCAGGCAGTATTTCAGGTCTTTGAGAACCTTCTGAGTCTGCAATATTCATTCAAGCAGTTCAGGGGTAGAGATAAGACCTGAGCAGTCCCTTGCTGATGGGATGTTAGAGCAGTGCTTTTCTGCTGGACCCTGGACACAGTAAGGAGGGCCCAGGGAGACAGAAAACCACAGGAACACACTCGTCCTCAGGAAACTAGTGGACAAGTGAGTGAAGACGTGTGTGCTAGGAGGGCTAGCACAGTGCTGTGGATATTACAAATGCAACTGGTTGAATAAATTGTGGAAAACCCTGCAGTCATTAAAATTGATGATATTGATCTATAATAACACTGACAATTACTCATGATATACACTAAGTATAACAAGAGATTAAAAACAGTTACGTTTTCATTATATGTGAAAACTAGGCTTTCACTGTAAATACATATGTATATTTTTACCTGGGGAAAATGCTGGATGGCTATACCAGCATTTTAAGAGTGGTTATTTCTAAGTGTTGATATTTTTAAATATTAAAAAAATGGTTTCCCTACGTGCTTAGCCATGTTTTCGAACTTTTCTACAATGAAATAATTGTATCATCTATTAAAATTGGACAGTAGAGGGGAGCCTGGGCGGCTCAGTCGGTTAAGTGGCTGCCTTCGGCTCAGGTCATGATCCCAGGGTCCTGGGATTGAGCCCCACGTGGAGCTCTCTGCTCAAGCCAAGAGCCTGCTTCTTCTTCTTCTCCCTCTGCCTGCAGCTCCCCTTGCTTGTGCTCTCTTTCTCTGTCAAATAAATAAATAAAATTAAAAAAAAAAAACTGGACAGCACACAGGAATGCCTGGCTAGCTCAGTCAGTAGACCATCTGACTCTTGAGCTCTGGGTCAGGAGTTTGAGCCCCATGTTGGGTGTGCAGATTACTTAAAAAAAATTGAAAAAAATTGGATAGTAGAAATAAAATGAATGAAACTGTAGAATGAGAAGTGAAAGGTATGAGAGCAATTTAGGAAGAAAATAAGTCAAGCTGAGTAGGATCAGCAAACCACGTTGACTACCTTCTTGGAGAAGTTTCTCACCTGAGAAATAAGGAGGTAGAAGCAGAATGAAAGCACAGCATTTCCGAAGAATGAAATGAATCTGTTAGACTCCTAGGGTTTCGCAGATCCGGACACAGTAGTTGTCCCCTCCTTCTTCCAATTTTCCATTGTAATATAAATCACATTTTTGGGGTACATGGCCACCTAGAACACTGGTCACATTTTCCAGTCTCCCCGGGGCAGCTAAGTTTTGGCCAGTGGGGTATAAGCAACTTTTAGGACGTGTCGTTCCTGAGAGAGACTGATTTTCTCTTTCCTTTCCTGCAATTTGCTATGTGGAATGCAGACATGATTGCTGGAGTTTTAGCTGCCATCTTGAACAGTGAGGATGAAGGTCACACTGAAAAAGGGAAGGAAGTAGTCTGGGTTGCAGAGCTGCCAGACAATTCCCGGACTACTTTTACACTTCTAGACTTTTGTCTGGAAACTAAATAAACGTCCATCTTACTTAAGGCCCTGTTATTTTGGATTTGTAAAAGTAAAGGAAAAGGAAGAATGAAAAAAATTAAGAAAAAAAGAACTGAAGCCCCTTTAACTTTGCATAGTAATGATAATATTAATAGGTAAGATTAGTGACTGTTCCTTCCCCCATGCCAGGCATTGTGCTAGGTACTCCACAATAGATCTTATTTAATCTCATGACAACCTGTGATTAGAAAACTGTGGATCAGAGAGGTTAAAAAAGCGGCCCAAGTTCATGAAGGTAGATAGTGGTGGGTTTAGGATTTGAGGTGGGGTTTGTCTATCCTGAGGAACTCAAGCTCTTACCCCCTCAGCCAGTGTTTTTCAAAATAAAGTCTGTGGTTCACCTGTATCAGAATCCTGGGAGATGTCCAAAATGCAGATTCCTGGACCCCAACCCTGACCGCTTTGACCAGAATCTTTTGGTTGCATTTTTACCAAGCTCCCCCAGCATCCAAGTTTGATGCCCCTGGTCTGAGTTACATCTTAGTCTAACTAAAATGGGAGCAATGGAGTTTCGATGTAGGTTTTGTAAATGGCTAAGCTGCCTTTTTTCACATTCCAGTGCAAGTGGCAATGTATTTTAATGACTACTGAGCAAGTATATTAAAACTGAAATTGCACAATTGCACATAGTGCTTAAATCTCTGTGAAGACACATGAGCTTTGAAACCTTGAGATAGTACTAAGTGCTTGACCATCTTCATCTTTCCTCCATCTTCCCTTAGTACAGGCAAGTATTGAGGAAGCATAATGTCAATCCATTTTTAACATCTTCTCTCTCTTCAGTCTCCTCTGGTATTCTCAGCTCTACATTCATACTTATAGGAACCACTGGCTTCCAGTTGTAAATTGGGTTGGGTGGGGACAGGTGCAGAGAGAGGGGGAGAGAATCTGAAGAGAAGAAGGAAATTAACTGTGGTACTGATGGGCCACAGAAATTTGTCTCACATTATAGCTTTACTTCACTTTCCATATATTATGTCATTCATATGATCTCAACATCCTCTGAAGTAGATGGCATCACCCCATGGTATTGATGAAGAAACAAAAGTTCTGAAACGTTCAACGTTATCATGCAAAGTCACACAGCCAGTGTGTGGCAGCCCCGAGACTGACTTGGCTCTTTTGACCTCAAAGCCTGGTGCTTCTCGCCCCCTCATTCTCTTTTATCCAGCTGAAGTCACCAAGTATGTTTTTCCATCATAAAATTCATTTGGGGCTCTGTTTTATAATCAAAATATGAATAGAGTGTGAACGCAATTTGCTTGCTGCTGGCTGCATTAGCATGAATTATTGAACTCCAGAGCCCTCACATAAAAGTTAAGCACCTGAAGAGACTCAGCTGGTTGATTCTATCCGGTTCTCAACTGTTCTCTCAGGGGAAAATGACTCTGAGTTCCACATCAGCTATCACCCGTCACATTGTTGGTAGTAGCTATTATCACCCACAGTTGTGTTCTGTCTCTACAGGTGTAGGTGGGAGGGG